GGGGCGTCCGGCTGAAGGCAGGTTCCCGGGAACAGCCGAGACCCGTGTCACCTCAGGACAACCCCCTCTCTTCCAGAGGCCGTACGTTTGCGATTATGAAGGCTGTGGTAAAGGTTTCACGAGGGAGTTCCACCGCGCTCGACACCTCCTTACCCACACCGGGGAAAAGCCATTCGAGTAAGGCCAATGTTTTGCTTCTTAAAATGGACTGTGCTTGTCCTTACGAAGTGAGGGGGAGATAAAACTGGCGTGGCACAGAGGATGCATGCCTGGCCTTGGTATGAGTGCTGCTGTAACGGTGTGCGCACAGGGTGAGATGGGAATCTCCTTAGCCTAACACCTCCTGTCTGGCAGTGAACCAGATAGATGCTTAAAGGAATGGGCAGATGTCTCCCTAGAATACAGAATTAAAAGAAGTAAAAGCAGTTATCTCCTATTACTGAGCCCTTAATAGCTGCATGTCGTGGATTAGAAGCTAGGAATCCTGTGTGTTTTATTAAAAATCTCATCTGATAAGTTTTCTATAGCTTTGGATTGTAACTTAGCCCCTGGCTTTTTGTGTCTTTAAAGCAAATCTTTATATTTGGGTTGTGAGTTTCAGTTATTCTTTCTGCATTCCTCTTGTCCGATGATTTGTGTATCTTCTTGGGAAACAAATTGCTGTTTGCTAAAAAATGCAGTTCATTTTCAGGTGCACAGCTGATGGATGCAATCAGAAATTTGGAACAAAATCCAACTTAAAAAAGCACATTGAGCGCAAGCATGAAAATCAGCAAAAGGAATATGTGGTGAGTAATTACCTTTGGTACTGTAAAGTGCAGGCTAAACAAGCTCCTTTTTGTATATCTAGTGAAATACTTCAGCTTGTTATTTCAGCAGCATTTTTCCAAGGGCCTGTAGTGACAGGACAAGGGGTAACAGGTTTAAATTGAAAGCAGGGAGGTTTAGATTAGATATCAGGAGGAAGTTCTTCCCGGAGAGGGTGGTGAGGCACTGGCACAGGTTGCCCAGAGAAGCTGTGGATGCCCCATCCCTGGAAGTGTTCAAGGCCAGGCTGAACGAGGCTTTGAGCAACCTGGTCTAGTGGAAGGTGTCCCTGCCCATGGCAGGGGGGTTGGAACTAGATGGTCTTTAATGTCCCTTTCAACCCAAACCATTCTGTGATTCTGTGAACTTGTTGTTACGCCATGTTTGTATGAGTTCAAGTGCTGTGATTGGGATTTTGGCAAACACATGTGGACTGTCAGTATTTGGCCTCTAATGATAACTTAATTTCCTAAATAGTGCGACTTTGAAGGCTGTAACAAGACTTTCAGGAAACATCAACAACTGAAAGTTCATCAGTGTCACCACACCAATGAACCTCCCTTCAAGTAGGTGGATAATTTTTATAATGAACTTTAACAATTCCATTTTAACACTGTAGATGAAAACAGGTGCCTTTTCTCAACCTTTTCTTTGAAGTGGCATTAAAAAAAAAACCAACGCATTGAATTTGTAGTCATGCCTGCAAGTACGTTTCTTGTACTGGTCCTTTGCTCAGTAGGCTGTTTTGGGCAACACTCTCGGTGCTCTGTAACTTCAGCAGTCAAAACATTTCCTTAGGATTTAGGATTTTTTTAGTATAGGTTTAAAGGAAAAATCATAAAATAAAAAAACCCTACACTAGTTTTGAGTTCACAGTCTGAAATACAAGCATTAGAGCTTGCACGGTAACAAAAAAAGCAGCCACCTCTGCTTTCTGGTGAAAAGGAGTGACTTGGCTAACAGTGGAGTGCTATCTTAAAAAAAGGCGAGGGGCTTGGACGCCAGTCTGAGCAGCTGTGCGTTGCTCTTCTATATTTACATGATACATCTGTATAGATCTGATGAAAGCCAAGTTTAGTCTTGGATTTCTTGCAGGTAGAACACACTTTGCAGGAGTGTTCCCCCTAAGTGGAGCGCACTGGTATGGCCGGGTGACAGGCACAAAAATACCGTCAGCGCTCTGCCGCTGCTCTGACTGCTATGTCTGGACAAGGCACTTAAACCCTCCACTTTCTGCTTCTCTTTCATGTTTGAAAAGCTTGCTATGTAGGGATGATATGAGGCTTGTTTCTTTAGTATACGTGGAAATCATACTATAGTTTTAACTACAGTTGAGGGGCTCAGAGTCCATTATGAAATTTACTTTTACAAGGGAGAGGGATAGAAAAGATCTCTCAGCAAGGGGAAACTCAGCTTATTTTGTCCACTTTCATTGTTCTTGATTTAAAAAAAACAAAAAATGGAGTGAAAGAAATTAAACCACTGTACTTTGTACCTAGATGTAATAATGAAGGCTGCGGAAAGTTCTTTTCTACTCCCAGTCGATTAAAGCGGCACGAGAAGATACATGAAGGTAATACAGTTTCTCTTCTTGCCTCAGTTACGTTTTAGCAAAGGCAAAAGGACTGGTTCCATTACAGAGAGTATGCAGGGATGTATGACAGATGTGAAAGTGTTCTGGGCCTAGTGGTCCAGGCAGACAATGCAAGAACACCTGATTTGAATAGTCAAATGGGGTACAGTTGCAAGGCACTGCTGTGTTCAGTGTACTTATGGCGGGCTGAACAGAGCTCAGCATTCCTTCGCTATGTCTTCTCCTAATGCGCTTTTTTGTCAATAATCCGTCTTCTGGAGATGGGCGAATGGGTAAGGCACTAGCCTGGACCTCCAGAGGTTAGGATCAGTTGCCAGTTCTGCTGATTTCCTATGGAGCCTTGGCAAAATGATGTAGGCTTGCATTTTTTGAGTTACTAATGTGCCGATTTGAAAGGTATTCAAGTGGAATCGTCAGGAGCTGGTCATGCATGTCTGAGCTAATCCTGCTACACTTCTGTCCATTCTTTCCGTACTGTTGACCCACAGTACGGAAAGTGCTAACCCACTTTCCAGTGCTACAAAAAATGCCAAGGGACTAGGAAGAGTATGCAAAAAGCTGTGATGTGTACTGCGTTCCTTAGAAGACAGCGTCTTGTTCACACCTGTTTGACCTTCCCAGTCCTGGCATATAAATGGTGTTGACTTTCTGTGGTTTGTTTAAAAACCATCCTGTCTGCTGATAGAATGGTAGAGTCGCGTTAGACTCTTGAGAATGTTATTGTATGGTCAAGATCTTATTTTTTTTAATGTGTAACACAAATATTTATATAGAAATAATATAGAATCAGAATGGTTTGGGTTGGAAAGGTCCTTATAGATCATCTAGTTCCAACCCCCCTGCCATGGGCAGGGACACCCTCCACTAGACCAGGTTGCTCAGCCTAATCCAGCCTGGCCTTGAACACTTCCAGGGATGGGGCATCCATATTACTACAGTTATTTTCATCTATTTGAGTTAAAGTGTATGGTGAGGAAGTAGTTTTACAACTACTTCTAGTTGGATGTCATCTGGTCCAGCTCCCTGCTCAAGGTGGGGTCAGTTAGACCAGGTTGCTGAGGACTGCGTCCAGTCAAAGTTTGAATGTTTCCAGGGATAGGAGTTCCACAGCCTCTCTGGACAGATTGTGTTGGTCATATATGTCTTCTTCCTTAAACTCGTTAGGATTTTCTCATGCCCTAATTTGTGTCTGTTGTCTCTTGTCCCATCACTGGGAGGAGAGGAGGAATACCGGCCTTTTTAAAAAACACTGTAAAACAGCTGTGTTAGCAAGAATCTATGTGACTGTAAACATTTGTTCTACCTAACAGGCTATGCATGCAAGAAAGAAAACTGCTCGTATACTGGAAAAACTTGGACAGATCTTCTGAAACATAATAAAGACAGACATACAGGTAAACTCCAAATGCTTTATTAAATAGAACTTTTTTAAACAGAAATAACAAACAAATAGCTAATCTGACGAGGAGTCCTTGCCCAACTAACTTCATCAACTTGTCATTGTGTCTGGACAAACCTGTTTCCTAACATTTCATCCTTAAAATGGTTGTCACCCCAGCTAGACCTTTAATGTATGAAAATGCTACTCGGTATACTTGCTTTGCTTTGTGAGTCTGTTAATGAGAGATTGTTTTTGAATCAGGATCATTCATACTGCATTATTCTCCTCCAGTCTCTTAAGTTCCTTGCATATCATGTGGATTTTAGCAGTGTTCCAGAGGACTGCTAGGGTTCGATTCTGAGCTCCTGTAAGCAGCCGTTAATTTACACTCTGCCCCTCTCTCCCTCGCACTCAGAGCCGATAGTTTGCAGCGAGTGTTGCAAAACTTTTAAACGGAAGGATTACCTCAAGCAACATCAAAAAACACATGCTGTGGAAAGGGAAGTCTGCCGATGCCCGAGAGAAGGATGTGGGAGAACTTACACAACTGTATTTAACCTTCAAAGCCATATCCTCTCTTTTCATGAGGAGAAAAAACCATTCTCTTGTGATTATCCAGGCTGTGGAAGAGTGTTTGCAATGAAGGTATGTATTTTGTACACTGTCCTAATCTGAGTCACATAATCTGAGATGATAAACCTAAGTCTTCTGTTTTTCTCCCTCCCTGCTCTTTAACTGTAGCAGAGCCTAGCAAGGCACGCAGTTGTACATGATCCTGAAAAGAGAAAGCTGAACTTGAAAGTAAGTTACACTTGAAAAAGTCCCCTCAACCATACCCTGTCACTTCAGAGGAGGGTAAACATCATGTGTTTTAGAATGTGACGTCAAGCAGGAAAACAGGCCAGCCTGTTTCATTGATTCCCCCCTCCCCTCAGTAGTCCTTGCTAATTAAAGTTGCTAATTCTGGATTTATTTATGCCAGGCAAAGCGTTCTCGTCCCAAGAGGAGCTTAGCTTCTCGCCTGAGTGGCTACATTCCTCCTAAAACGCAGCCAGGAAGGGATGTGGCTGTGACAGCAAACAAGACAATGGATAAGCCCATGGAAAATGAAATACCAACTGTTGAAATTCTGACTCTGCAGTAAAGGTTAACTGAGACAACGTTCCACATTGCACGACCAGTGCAAAGTTCAACAAGAACTTTATTAAGTTTACAGTCTTTCTTTTTTAAATAAGAAATTAATATTGTTTACACCTTGTCATAAAGTCATTGCTGCAACTCACTTGACTTCAGATCTTCACTTTCATCTTTCTTTACCGGATTGGTTTTTTGTTTTGCCATCTTCTGGTATGCTTTCAACTCTTTGTCAGACATGTGTCTCAAAATACAGGCACTCACTCCTTCTCTAGTAACTTTTGGCTTGGAAAGGTAAGTGGCTTTCTCAGAGACAGTCTCCAAAATTTGATCAAAAAGCATGAACTGAAAAGAAGGAGAAAAATAGGGACTAAATGCACAAATGCAGGCAGAAATATATTTCAGGCTGTTCTGTAACAATACAACCTCCTGCTTTAAGGACATCTTAAATGTGGACTGTGTCATGAAATGTTCTGCTCCCTCCCATATCCAGTTCTTCCTCTTGCTACCCTTTCCCTATGAATTCAACTTCCTGTAAAAAGTTTTGTTCCTTTTGAATTAAATGATATCAGGTTTTTTTTAATCACAGCTGCCCTGGCTATGTCCCCTCCCAACTTCTTGTGCACCCCCAGCCCACTCGCTGGTGGGTGGTCTGAGAGGCAGAAAAAGCCTTGACTCTGTGTAAGCACTGCTCAGCAGGGATGGGAACATCCCTGTGTTATCAACACTGTTTCCAGCACAAATCCAAAACATGGCCCACACCAGCTACTATGGAGAATATTAACTCTATTGCAGCCAAAACCAGTACACCCAGTTAATAAGGTGTTGCTGCCGAGGAGCTGGAACTGCTTACACTCTGCAGTCCTAAGACTGGCTTTGACAGCGTTCTTAAGAAAGCACAGCGTTTGCACTGTCTCTGTCTTTGAACAGAGGCAGCTTAAGCTGGGGCAACCATTACTTTCATGGAACCTTCACTTATTTTAGCAGCATATGTTCTATAAAAGAAGTGGCAGCACTGAATAGGGGAAATACAAGTTCAATGAAACCGATTGGTCCAAATTTCAGGAGCCCACTTACCATGTCTGTATTGGAATCTTTTGCTTGCCGGATGGTAACCTTAACATGGTATTTCTTTTCAATCCACTGTGCTATCTGTTTAGTCTTGGTCTCTAAGTCGTTCTTGGCAATAGCTGAAGAAAAGGATAACTCCTTCTGAACCATCCCTGTTTAAAGCAGAACTAAAAGTGTGTTGGCTCAACATCTGACAAACTTGGATTAGTCACCCCTGGTGCTTTGTTTAACTCCCCCCATGCTGCTTTCTCATACATGAAGCATCCCAATTTCATCGTCTCAGCATGCACCACTCCCACCTTAGAAGGTGGCGACTTCGTATCTCACATTTGCTGCCATAACTGGGAGACCGAATGCAGGTTTGAGGCACACAGGGAAGTATCTTGGGGCTCAGAAGGCTCGAAGTACTTTTATTTTAATTACAGTTTTGTTCATAGCACTCACAGTGCAGGTCTAGCAAAGAAACAGGAAGCATTGGATCTGGAAGTAAAGACTTGGTGTGCAAATTCCTACATTCTGCACATAATGCAGCTGAGTGTGAAAGCTTTGAAGTTAGACAGCACTTTATCTCAAGCCCACTTTCTTGAATGGTGAAGTGCAATGTTACAGTCCCTTCCTCCTCAAAATGGTAACTATTTGAATAATCTTTTTGTAGTTTCTTTAACAGAAGAACACACTAGCACAATGGTGCTGCTCTCTCAAATCAGAACTCTACCTAAAGCACAGATAGCTTTGTTAACCTGAGGATAAGAAAAAAAAATACAAGGTCAGATCACAGAATCACAGAATGGTTGGGGTTGGAAGGTACCTTAAAGATCATCCAGTTCCACCCCCCCTGCCATGGGCAGGGACACCTTCCACTAGACCAGGTTGCTCAAAGCCTCATCCAGCCTGGCCTTGAACACTTCCAGGGATGGGGCATCCACAGCTTCTCTGGGCAACCTGTGCCAGTGCCTCACCACCCTCTCCATGCAGAATTTTTTCCTGATGACCAATCTAAACCTCCCCACTTTCAACTTAAACCTCATACCCCTTGTCCTGTCACTACAGGCCCTTGTAAAAAGTCCCCCCCAGCTTCCTTGTAGCCCTTTCAGGTACTGGAAGGTGCTATAAGGTCTCCCCGGAGCCTTCTCTTCTCCAGGCTGAACAAGCCCAACTCTCTCAGCCCGTCCCCACAGCAGAGGTGCTCCAGCCCTCTGACGCCTTTTCTAAAACCTCTTTGCCAAACTCAGTTTGTTAAACTGCTGGAGCAGCCTGACTTGAGAAAAAACACTGAAAAGTGTTCAGTACTGGAAAAGTTGTTCCCTTACTCTGTACAAGAAAGAGCTCCAGGCTTTGCATCCTAGCAGGAAGCTAGGAAGAGAATGTTTGATGACTACTGGTTAGTCATGAAATTACACTGGTGTTTCTGGTGGTCTGTAAAAACTGCCTGTCACTTTATGCCTTTGTCAATGAACAAATTTTCAGTGAGTCTCATGGAACCAGAGTCTAGTTATATTCACTTAAATAGATTTAGGGAAAAAAAAAAGCTAGCAGATGCCAAAATAGTAAATCCTGAGAAGGCCATAGAAGGGTTCTCTGTGGAAGACGAGACTAATCCAAAATTTTATTTCACCACTGCAAATCCTTAATAGCGGGGACTGCAGTGACATGCTTTGGATTTACACAAATGCAAGTAAGAGGATTTCATCTGCTGAAACCACTTTTAATTCAATATTTTTCAAAGGGCTCAGTGCTGCAGCGTCAACAACGCACATACCTGGTTTTGGACTTGCTTTTTTCTTCTCGGCGCGTTTGAGCTGTTCTTCGTGGATCTGCTGCCCGCTCATCAGTCTGTATACGGGAGGTTCTACATTCTCGCAAAGGAGAACTAGTTTCAGGTCATGTTGATCCATAAGTTTGAGTGCTTCTGCTCGGTGCATATTTCCTAAGCTCTCTCCATCCTGGTTGATGACATGCAAAATCCGATAGGGAATTCTTCGCCCAACGCTTCCAAATGCTGCTTTCCTTTTTTGTTCTGTGTCAGATTTTTCAGCGGTACAGAACGGTTGAGTAAGTCCAAACGCAGTTGACTTTCTAGGGTCAGGTACCACCATCCGGAATGGACAAAAGACCCTTTTTTGTGGTGTTTGTGGCAGAAGAGTACTGAAGAATCTTTTTGCATATCTATTCTCATTTCTGGCTGCTTGACATAAAAGTTTCATCAGGCAAAGGGCAGTCATTCTGAGGAAGCAGGGAAGAAGAAAAAACAAGTTACCCCCATCAGATTCTTCTAGTTGCATTAGAAAGACTGGCTCCAGTTCAATAAACCCCTAGTCCTTCAAACTACTCTTTTCAGAAAGATGCATGGTGTTACTATACAGAATGAGCAATCAGCAGCAAGTTTACAGTAACAGAGGGTATTAACCCAGAGAAAAAATCTGACAGAGGAACAAAATTGACAAAGAGTTGATGTTATCTTCATTATTTCATATGAATATATATTCAATATATTCTTATTTTAGAATTTGAGCCTGAACTCTTAAAGAATCCAAAACTTCTACTTCATTTCTCCTCACAAGTGTCTACTCCTACATGGCTTTTTTGTGTGTGGAGAGATTAGCTAGTGGTGAAGAGGGAGAATTTGCTGTCATATAAAAAGGCATGTCACTTAATATTTTCAGTCCAGATTTTTTTTTTTTTTCATGAAGCAGCTAACGCTAGTACTTTCTTCCTGCTTCCGATACTCATCTTTGGAAGGTGTTTCATTTAAGCCTCATTCATTCAGAACCATCCTAATCACATCAGGAGTGAAGGGGCGATTGGAGCAATGTCCGTCAGCAGCCACCCCAGCATCTACAGCGTTTTGTAAGGTTTTGGAATTTCAGAGCCTTGACTGTACAGAGTAGGACTGCCGTGCAAAATCTACCCCTTGGCATTAAAACATGCCAAAGTGACCGTTACTCCACTTGAAAACATGGTTTATCCCAGAGTTGAAAACTCTTCCATAGCTAGCATGTGACTTGCTTCTCACAGCACTGACCCCAAATTGTGTATTTTTCTCAGTTTCCCAAATGTAATTTTGTGAAGTAATCCAGTTAGTTACTTGGTCTTGTATGGATTAAGCACTAATATTATTTCAGTAACCTTAAAAAAAAAAAAAACCACTAATGTATTCATTGCCTTTTCAGCTCAAGTTCCACAGGTTCAGCCATGCTTAAAAGTGAAAACACTGCTTTAACCTAAAACCTGTTTTATCAGACATCTAAAGTATCGTTTGACTTTCCCAGCTTTTCACAAACATTACATTTAGGGTGGCACATTCCTATTTACAGTGAGCTGATTCTTTCCAGTTATCAAAATTACTTTGATTTCTTACAGAAAGTACGCACTGAAGTACCATTTCACCAAAAACATCTAATAAAACCACTGATAATCATCTCTGGTTCATGGAATCCTCCGGCAATTTTGGTGCACCTGACCATTATTTCCATTTTGTTCAAAACTTCAGAAATGGGCCATATTTTACAGCTGCAAAACCTTCAGAAATAAAGAGCAAACCGGAGTATTATCTGCAGTTTTGGTATTCCGTGTGTGAAAGGCAGCAAGTAGAGGGAAAGCCAAGGATGATACAGGAAACCAAACCTGAGTCGTACCAGAGGAGTTGGCAAGAGCGTGGCTTCTTTTGCTGAGGAAGGTATGTGACTGCACTCTATATATACACATACATGTACTTGTGTATGACATTGTGTAAACATGTATCCATGTGCACACATGTACACGGAGAAGGTGCAAACAATCAGCGAGGATAAGGAACTATTTATAATTCTAAGCAGTGTTAGCCCAGGAGCAAGTAAAATGACCTGCCTGTGAATACCTGGCCTGAAAACAGGTTTGGAGCCTGAGAGGCTTCAAATTTTAGACAGTCTGCACTGCAGACTGTCATCTGGGCACCACCGGTGCATTATAAAACATTATAATAATAATACTCTAACACATTATAAAGTACTTCCAGTAAAAGGTGTCCCTGCTCATGGCAGGGGGGTTGGAACTAGATGGTCTTTAAGGTCCCTTCCAACCCAAACCATTCTGTGAGTCTGTGATGACAGTATCTTGCATCCAGAGGAGCCTGGCTTGCCTTTGTCTGTTACTAAGGATCACAGCAACGGAGTCATGGTTTATTTTAACGAAATGTTAAGTCTTGCTCTGCTAATACATGACTTTGCCCTTTATTCTACTTTCTGTTGCTATTTAAATCTAGTAAATCCCGTTTTAGCTGTCTGGGAAACACTGGGAACCGCAGGAAAAGCAGATGTCTGACGTATTTCAGGAGTACAGTGCGGTTCTGAGGGGAGATGCTCTGCGTCTCGCAGGAGCTGCTGGCGCGTTACTTCACGCGTGGACTTGTGCGTGGGGGTGGAACCGGCTGTGCGTGTCCGGGAGATCACCGCCTGTGTACGTGACCGTGTGCGTGACCCTGCGGTGTGCCGCACGCCGGGTGACGCGTCGGGGCAGGCGGCCCCTGGGGTAGCCGCGGCCCAGC